CAGCGGCCTTGCGCTTCTCCGTAGGCCTCCTGACGCGCTTCGGGCGTACCGGCATGTCCGTTGCCAAAGCACCAGGGGTTTCCAGGACTTCATCCTCCATTTCTGGCTTGGCTGGTAGTCTCAGGACCAAGCGCGGGTGTGTGACACGTCGTTCAGGCGTCGTGGGGGGCATGATCGGAGGTGGCGGTATCCCTCCGACACCGCTGTCTCGTCTATCCGATGTCGATGTAGCATCGTGACTCTCCGTCGCGAGTGGAGTATCTTTCGGATCCTCGAGTCCGATCTCCGCCGTGGACGTCGAACGTGGTGTGTCGAAATACAGAACCTCTGGTTCTTGCCCTTGAACGCGTACCGCAGCAAAACTGTTCTGTATGCGCATTTTCCACTCGCTCAAACCCATCAAGACCTTGGCTTGATTGCCTAGCTCTCTGGACTGCTTCAACGAAAGCCCCAGGAGTTCGTTATGTTTGTCGGAGAGAGCTTGGTAGTCCATACGCAGACTACCGTATGATGAGGAGAGCACGTCGAGCTGCTCCTCTAGGTCAAGAAAAGACTGTGCGCTGCTGATCTGTAGGTTGTCGAGTTCTTGTCGGAGGGCGCGAATGCTTGATTTAGGGTCTATCGCAGACATCCGACGGCTTCCGTGGTCTTGGTCATCGTAGACTGTGGGCGGTGTGTTGTAACGGAGGCGGACGATGCTACATGATGTCAGCAGGCCACTTCCCTGATCTGGACGTCCTCAACAACGTACTAATCCGCGTCATCAGAGAAGTATTGACGGCAACTCTCAGTAATGGACTGTTCACTGTTCGATGGAGATTCGTATCCGATGATGGGGAATTTCTTGACACCCGTGATGTATGGCTCCCAGTCGCTATCGCTGTCGGACGGCTCACATAGAGAAGAAAGGTCGATGACATCGTGTCGACACACCTCTTGGTCACAATAGTGATCATTGCGGGCTGCTGGCCATTTGGGTGTAGTTGTGATCGATCGGGATGCTGCAAAACGTTTCCGTTCCTCGAGTAGCGTGTAGAATTCATCCACGGATTCAGCGCTGGTCTTGCTGACGAGAGGTTCTGCACCGCACATCCTGGTAGCTGGTAGTAACTGATGATAGAAATGATGGTCGTGCTATTGCTGAGTGGTGTTTATGGCACTGTTGATGGAGGATGCTGGTGTATGTTACTCGAAGGAAGGCTGACCCATGATAGAGCCGATCAATGAGGAGGGCGACTACCTCGTCCAATTTCAAACGACGTTCGCCGTTGCCATTTGGGTTGAACACGCATCTCACCTCAAAGCAGCCTCGACGCAAAGCTGTGGTAGTTGAAGCGAAGAGATGGAAAGATCGAATCAAACCTTATGTATCTGTGTAAGGCTGATACTAGGAAGATGCCGACAACAGGCGCAGAGTGCGCAAACATTCCTCAGTAACATGCATGCCGTCCTGCAGCTTTGCCGGTGGTGTCGCTCGAGAGATGCAGTCGGTGTCAGCTTCAGGCGATACATGGTGCGAAGAACCGAAAGATTCTTGATCATGCTCTCGCCAAGTAACGTCGTACGTAGGTTACATTCGGGTAGCACCACAGTACCGAGGCGATACGAGGTCAACAGAAAGGCCCTGGGTCCTTGTATCGAGCATGTCGCGTGACATTGCCCGTTGTCGATGCGACTTGCTTTGGGGCAGGCCCACCTTCGCGCCTACTCGGCACGTGCTGCCAGGGAAAGTGTTGCATTCGGAGGAGACCGGTGAAGTTACTGCAGTGGTTGGCAGGTGTGGAGCCGGGCAAGGGTCCAACAACCTGCCACAGTGAACGGCAGATTTCTCGTTGCAATTCGAGCGTTTCGGTCTCGGTCTTTCCAGTAGATTAGCAGTGGCAGGCCGCGCATTCAAGGAATGTCGATCTCCCATCAATGTTGGGGTCGCAGGCATCCCGCGCGTTCTGAGATATCAATCTCAGGGACGTCATGCCTGATCTGGGCATTCAACGAGAACACTCGAGCCACCCCGCTTACTGTCGGTGTGATTAACGTCTGGCGATAATTTGAGGCCGGTCTTCTTAGCCATTTCGCGTGTGCGAAGCCTGCGAAAGTAAACGTAATCGGCACGTCTTTAGTCTAGTAGCGTTTCGGCACGCGGCAAAATTCGTCGGGTCCGCCACAAGCGAACAGCCTCGCGTCGAGAGGTCAACGTCGCAGTAGCAACGACGATCTGTGCTGGTAGCCATCATTGTCAACCGATGCACCTGGTCTGTGAACTGTTGTGTTCATCGAGGGCTCAGCGTGTAAGGTTCTGTCACTGCGCCCATCAGGCGCGCTGCTGCAGGCGCACCCACGCACAAGGAGAGAGAGTGCAAAGCTTACCAGACCGATGGTATTAGCTAAGGCCAAGCCTAATAGGATCGAGCGAACCACAGAGGCGACGTGGGATGATCTTTGCAGTGAACGGCAGAGGAACGTGATGGGGTCTGATGCTTGGTCCACCAAGCACTACGTCACGGCGCGCCTTAATGCCGCTACCTTGGCGCACCGTACCAACGACTCCACACCATCTGTCCGTTCCAAAAGATTTTTTGACAGGGGCGGCGCCGGGGAGAACTGGAGTATATGAGGGGCCATGACCCTCCTCCGGGACCGAGCTCGTGTAACTCTTGTCATCAATTTCCTGCGACCCTGCTGTCGCGGAAGCTTGCCATACCCAATATACAAGCTTTTCCAAGCCTCACAAGCCTTTAGCATCCTGCTTGGGTGAAGACGCCGTGACGGTTCGACACATAAACGACAACGCCACCAGATTACAGCGACATCGACGACTCGACGACCCTGGACAGCACTATCCCAATTGCGACTGCCCAATTATCGCACCCCTCTTTACCATTGCGCCAACCCCAAGCAACAACTCTACGCCCATCCTCCATCGCGGCACCACCACCATCATTACGCCAAGATGGTCCGAACTATGTTTGTGAATCCCTTCAAGGCCCATCATGTCGACGAATTCCCCGGCGTCCATGTGCCTCTTGATGACTCGACCCATCGCGCTTCTGTAGCTTCCACCCACCCACGCGCCTCCCTCGCTGCAACAGAGAAAACGACCAAAGACGACAAACCAGAAGATGGCCTCACGCGCCCTGACAGTAATGCATCTAGTGGTGTTGTTAACCATGGCTTGACAGTCGCAGCATTGAAGGCAGAGATTGAAGCAGAGGTTGCTGCTTCGGACAACGACACGCCATATGACCGTACGTCGTGTGGCTTTTCCTATCACCTCCGGTAATTCTTACAAGGAAACAGTACTAATCTTCCATAGGCAAGTCCAAGGTTATCAACAAGGCCTTGCAGGACATGGGCATGGGCCGCTATCAATGGCAGCTTTTTGCTCTCTGCGGTGGCGGTTGGATGGCCGACAACTTGTGGCTGCAGGTGCGCATATCCAATTCCTCATCAACCAACAGGACTTACAAAGATACAGGGTGTTGCTCTTACACTGCCACAACTCAGCGTTGAGTTCGGTGTCAGCGAGACGGAAGTCAGATACACCACACTAGCGCTCTTCCTCGGTCTCTGCATTGGCGCTTCCTTCTGGGGAACCGCGTCTGACATTATCGGTCGTCGTCTCGCTTTCAACTTTACTCTTTTCCTCGCTGGTGTCTTTGGTCTTGCATCCGGCGGTGGGCCCAACTGGATCGGCACATGCGCACTCTACGCTTGCATTGGTCTTGGTGTCGGTGGTAACCTCCCTGTTGACGGCGCTTTGTTCCTCGAATTCCTGCCTCAAACATCGGGAAACCTCCTCACGCTGCTTTCGATCTTCTGGCCCGTCGGTAACCTGGTTGCCTCGCTCCGTAAGTCGATACCGCTAGCTATACTCACCATTTACTGACGACCTGCAGTGGCATGGGCATTTATTCCCAACTTCTCATGCGCTGACGGTACTCCCGTCGGACAATGCCGCATGGAAGACAACATGGGCTGGCGATACCTCATCCTGACTCTCGGCGCTATCACATTCTTCATGTTCATCTGCCGCTTCTTCCTCTTCCATCTTTACGAGTCACCCAAGTTCCTGTTGTCTCGCGGTCGCCAGGCCGAGGCCGTCGCCACCGTCTACGGCATTGCGCACTACAACAAGACGCACACCTGGCTCACCGAGGACATCCTCAACCAAATCGGCGGCGACCAGGAAGTCACCGGAGAAGACGTCAAGCTCAGCGTCTTCGAGATCGTCAAGCGCTCCCTTAGCCGTTTCTCGATGAAGCGCTTCAGGACTCTCTTTCAGGACAAGAAGATTGGTCTTACCACTGCGCTGCTCTGGTTCCAATGGTCGACTATCGGTATGGCCTACCCGCTGTTCAACGCTTTCCTCCCGCAGTACCTCAAGAACTCGGGTGGCGGAGTCGAGAACGACATCAGCATCGTCTACCGCAACTACGCCATCACCGCCATCGTCGGAGTCCCCGGATCCATCCTCGCCTGCTACACCGTCGACCTCAAATACGTCGGCCGCAAGGGCACAATGGCCATCGCCACCGTCATCACCGGTGTCTTCGTCTTCCTCTTCACCATCTCTTCCGACTCTGACTTCCAGCTTGCCTTTACTTGTCTCGAGGCTTTCTTCCAAAACATCATGTACGGTGTCTTGTACGCGTACACACCTGAGGTGTTCCCCGCCCCAATCCGAGGCACGGGTACTGGAATGAGCAGTTTCTTGAACCGCGTTGCTGGTCTTTGCGCGCCTATCGTTGCTATCCAGGCGGGTGGTAGTAATCCCAAGGCGCCGATTTACGCCAGTGGTGGATTGTTCATTGCGGCGTTCTTTAGTATGTTGGTGCTGCCTATTGAGACGAGAGGCAAGCAGACTTTGTAGATGGTACGCTTTGAGTACTTGACGGCAGGACCGCATAGCGCAGTTGCATGATGTGTAGCGCTAAGAATTGATAACATCGATTTCTACATTGAGGCTACACCATGTCTCCGTCCGCATCTTTAACCCCAGTTCACAGCCTCGCCCTCACCTCCCCTAACTTCAAACCCCACCCCCTCAACCACCTTTCCACGAGCTCCTCCGTAACATCCTCCACCTCCGGCAACATCTCCATCGCATTCTCACTCCTAAAAGCCATCGCTTCTCCTTCCCTCCCCTCTCCCGCCTCCATCATAAAAGCATGCATCTTGAACTTCTGCGGGTCCAACATTCCTAACCACTGCGGCAAGCTACACTCCCTTACCTCGAGTCCAAAACGCCCCACCAGCACCTTCTGCAGCAACGCCCAAGGCGCAGGGCGGGGGTGCATCATGTTGTACACCTTGACCTTGTCTGCAGATGTGCTTTGTTGGGATGACGTGACATTGGCGATACCCTCAGCGAGGTTATCAACAGGAATCCAATCCACAGCATTCATCCTCACGGGCCAGTACCCCAGTTTCTGACTTGTCTTGAAAATCACCCACAACCAGCCCTGAATTGGCCACTGCGGCGCATTGGATATCGCGGATGATGTACCACCGATCTGGCCCGCACGTACAATAGCCACGCGTAACCCGTGTTCCTTCCCTGCGCGCGCGAGAAGTTGCTCCGCGAGGCATTTACTCTGGCCATACCCCGTATTCGCTGCGCTGGCGAAGTCCCAGGCGGGGACTTCGGGGATGAGCGGGGAGGTGGGGTGCTGGGTTGGATGGTTCATTATCGAAGTGTTCGAGGACACGAAGGTTACGCGAGGGTTTAGGGGGCTGGCGATACATGCGGTGATAACATGCTGAACAGCGTTGAGGAGGGGTAAGTAACCGATGAGAGGCGTCGCCCAATTTGCGTTCCACGCATTGAAAACGATTTCTGAGACGCTGGTTGTGAAGTGTGTGTATTGGGTGGGGGATAGACCGAGGTTGGGGAGTGTGATGTCGGTTGTGATGAAGGTGAGACGGGTAAGGTTCTCGTTGCTGATGTGGGTGAGAGACGAGGTGGTGCGTTGTTCTGCGTCTTTGCTACGGTTTAGGCAGAGGATGGTAGTGTGGGGGTGTTTTTGGAGGAGAGAGGCGGTGATGTAGGGGCCTAGGAAGCCTGTGGAGCCGATGATGGCGATGGTCTTTTGTGAGGTCATTGTTGGCTGTGTGGGTGTGTTGCTATCTTTGACTGGGACAAGATTCGTGAGATCTATAATCGGGATGGTGAGAACACTGAGCAGTGGTCCATTGACACTGTTACGCACGCAAGTGAGTGAAGAATGAATTCGGTACGTAATGTGAGGTACAGGTCCGTTTGCACCTTATACTTGAAGACGGTGGTCGGGAAGTGAGGTCGACTCCACGGAGACTTTGAACATGCCGTGCAACATCCATTGGTAGGTAACATAGGGGCGTCCTGCATATAGTGATGTTAAGCCCGAGACTTGTTCTCGCCAATGAATTGAGTGTGAGATACACACTTGATGTCAAGTCCTCCGCGGATGCGTGCCAACTTCTCATAGAAGCGTAAGGGGCCCAACCACGATAGTGATGTGCTGCCACATTGCATACAATACACATTGATCGTACCCATCTGTGTAGAGCGATGTCGCGGAACCACACCGATCACGCGTCTCGTTGAATTTACAGCCTTTTGCTCTTTGCCCTCCGCTTTCGACTCGCGTAGAGCGTGGCTGAAAGGTAGGTCACCGTTGAACGATACACGACAGGGCTCTGTGTGGCGTTGCTCCAACTGCGTGGTGGGATCTTGTTAGGCGTTGACTTTGGTGTTTCTCCAGCTCCACAATACGGACTGCAAGGCCTAGACCTAGCGCGATAGTAATCAGCCCAGGCTGAAGAATTCAAGGCGTAGAGGGTACGTTGCCATAGGCTAGGAACGAATGAGGAAAAAGTCTATCGTCGACGATCAGTTCACGTCGCAGCATCTGCCGTTGTACAACATGCCAGTACCCGATACGTGACGGTTCGCATGACTGGGTAATTGTGGGCGCAAGGGTGACCCAAGGCCGAGGCACGGAAAAGGGAGGATTGAGACATCCCTTTGGTCTAATGATGTAGCAATGCGGCTCCACAATCGCCACGCGCTGCAAGCCTCGACTCCTTACCTCTCCATACCACATGTTGCTTACGCCCATCGCAACGGCTGCCGTTTTAGTGGAATGATGTACTCCGCAACGGCACAGGGCGATGGTGGTGTAAAGCCGTGAGGCGTTGCAGCGCTTGCTATCGCCTTTCTTAAAGAAGAAGCTTGCCCCGAGCTGCCCTTGACTGAGCCACCGTCTGCGCTATCGTAGACTTTCCGTGCCCACCATGCCGCTCAGCCGGAGTATAGCCTTGCCGTCCTTGCTGTTCGTCCATGTTGTTGTCTCGTCTAGCGGCTCGGTGCGGGTGTTCGATAGGCATCGCGCATTGTGCTCTTCGCCGTGGAAGTAGAAGGGGGCGCTTGCCGCGAAAGGCAGTCTGGCTAGATCCAGCTTCTGGGTTTGTTGAACACAACGACTCTGTGTAGTCAGTGAGAAGCCGGGTCTGCATATGACAGATCTGGGCACGGAAACTTTTGCCTGATCAAATTGAAGTGATAAGCTAAGCGTCGTCCATGATGCGAGGTCTTGACAAAGGAAAAGCAGACTGGTTGACTGGCTTCGGGTCGTCGTGGGCTGACAGAGCAGCCAGGCCGCTGTCAGGCTGGGCGCAAAGTACCGTCCAAAGTCATTACAATCGACTCATTCGGAAGCGAGCGCGAACACAAAAAGATGCTGTCAGGCTGAAAGCAATGCTGCAATTCATTGTCGGCTGCCCGAGGGTGAGAGGGCTGGCACACCTAAGCGTGGCCGCATTGCGCGCGGTCCGGGCGCCGGACCGCTTCGGAGACACATTTTGCCGAAGCCCGCTTGTGCGTCATCGAGAGGTGGAAGGCACATCAGGCTGCTCTCAACTCATCCCATCGCGTGCAGTGCGGTACGCTTGTCTAAGCATACTATTGATTCGCTAGATAAGGTACAGTATCTCGAGGTCATGGCACCCTTCGATGACCTCAACGCAGCAACTCAGACCGGCCATTAACCACCTGGAACGTTGCTTCCTGAAGAGCGTGGTCGCCCTACATGCGCGTATCCTCGCTGCGACGCGTTTGCTTGCGCACCCCAGCCTCCAGGTTCTAAAAAGCTACTCTGCTGCGACGATGGCATCACCATTCTCTGAACGTCCTGGTTGAATCCGAACCCACGCACAGGCCTATCGCTGACATTACCTGACCGCAAGGACACATATTCACCATGATCGCGATGCACTAGCGACCCAATGTGCAGCGTTTTGTTTGCACTAGTCATGAGCAACTTCAGCGCTGGACCAGATCGCTGACAGTGCACCAGGTTTCGAAGCTGATCAACGACATCTAGGATTTCTCGATCCCAACCGCGAAGCGGGTTTTCGAAATCGGATATGCCGTCTATGATGCAAATGATCGTCTTTGACTTGTCCATGTTCCCCACGATCGACCCGAACAGAGATACCAAAGCTCGCACGTTATATTGCGACACTGCGTCGTAGAGACTTTGCTCTAATGGATCCAGCTCGACGTCCGGTGAGTCAGGATAAAGGAGTAGCTGAGTAATCAGGCTGCGTACGAGCCCAGATGGTCCGCCGATCAGATCCTGTTCGACCCTGGTATGACTGCTGCAAAAGAAGTGCAGGATCATACTGGAGCCTGTCTGGGCGAGCGTGGTTGCCAAGGAAGCACACAGGACGGACAACGGAGATATCTTTCCGATACCATCATCTTTGCAATGCCCATCAACCAGGAGGATTCCGGACAACGGCTGACTTAGCCAATTCTTGAATTGCGCGGTCGTGAGCAGCCACCGCGCCTTGCCGAGACCCTTGGGTCGTAAAGAGTTGCTCTGTCTCAAGATATGCTCCGTCTCGCGGATCAAGTATGCGAGATCCACGCCGAGCATCCACAGAAGCTCTTCCGTCGTCATCAAGATTGTCTGCTGGGTAAGACGTCGCTCCTCCGCGATGACCTCGGTTCCAACTTTTTGCTGGAGAGGCTGCTCTAGAGATGAATGAGTTGGTGACAGGATTCATACCTGTGGTCGACTTACTTGCTTGGCACACCATTTCCGCGACGATCTCATACACAAGAGTCTGCACGGTAGCAGCAAGCTCGTTATTAGAGACCTTCTGTGGCATGTTACCCTCGAACAGCCTTTGAAAGTCTTGCTTAATGTCTTCTTTCATCTCTTTGATGCTTCGGTTAAGGGTTTTCATTTCCCCATCAAGACGCCTAACACCATGCGATACCTCCTGAACTCGAGAACGCGTTGCGTGCAACTCGGTACTGTTAGCCGAAGCCGTCTTGCGGACATCCTGCATGGTTTGTGCGTTGAGAATGTCAACTCGATTTGTCACCCTGGCCTTGGCGTTTTGTATCTCATGATCGAGGCCCTCCAACACGACTGCTTCGTGATCCGGCAGTCGTGTCCTCATACGGCGCCAGACTATCGAAGCTGAGGGTTTGACTGTTTATATCGGATAGGGCAAAACTTACGCGACTCTTCTTTGCTACATCGAAGCAGCATCTCGATAAGCAATTTCAGGGAATCAACGATGATACCGTAAAGATCGTACGTCTTCGCCTTCAGCTCACCATCTCGAAATACCTTATACATCTCGGCTGTCGTCTTGAGAGTTTCAATAACGTCTGCGAGTAGCTCTAGTATCTTCTCTCGGTTCTCGATGCATTGTTCCCAGGCCTGGATAGACGATCAGCTAATGTCAAAATCCACATATAGAGCAAGGGTACCTGGAAAATGAACGATAGTCCTCCACGTAAGATACCAAGGCCATGTTCTTCTGGGATTATGAAGGAAAGAGAGTTGAGTGTGGTCGCATCTGCTTTGCCGTTCCGAATGAAACTTCGGAGGGACCCTTTTGGAGCTTTGGCGTCGTACGCCTCTTTCACCGCGTCGATCCGCTCGAACACATCATTCCATGTACAACTCTCGGTTTGGCATCCAGGGAACACTGCACTGGCCTTCTTGAGAACAGCTTCAAGCTCCCTTTGCAAGCATGAGTTCTCGTTGTTTGAGCGTTAAGATGCGGCGTTTGGAAACTCACTTGCTCGGTAGAGTCCTCCACTCTCCACGTTGACGGTTGTATTGGGTGGGCACAGAAAGTGCAGAACGCAAAGCACCACCGGTTGTTGTCTTGAACGCTTCGAACGTCTTGATTTCGTTCTCGTCATCCATTACTTCCTTGACGGCCTTCGGAGGCAACAACATATTGGAAAGTTTCCTCATTATCGAGTCTGGTTATTGCGGTGTGGGGGCTTGCATCTCAGAGTTGTCGAAACTCGTTGTTCAGTCCGCTGCCAGCTGGGCATCGCACACCTTCAGAGGGTAGCACACCGACTTGCTCAGCCCCACTGCGATACGCCCCACCAAAGCAGCCTTCGTGCAGCTACTCCATCGTCGCTTGTCGGACTTGGGTGAAGTGCAGATAGTAGTGCGGACATATCATTTGCCACGTCAGCGCCGGATCGGGAGATTCAAGCCGAAGGCTGAAGGCTTACTGGTGAGACAAATCTTACCGCACGAGATGAGAGCCGGCAGTCTGCAGCAGAGCCAATCAGGGATATACAGTTATCGGGTCGGTCTTCAGCAGTCGGGTTGTGTAAGCGCCGGGTCTGGAAGGCTCTGAGAGTGGTGTGCCTGCCCGAGACTGACACAGATAAGACTCAATGCAAGAAACGCCAGAAGGGGGCCAAAACTCTCGACAAGGCAAACGCCAAGGGCTTATTTTCGCGTAGCTCATCGACTGATCGGCATTGCAGGTTCATCTCCGAGGGTGTTAAGACAGTCTTCTGAAAGAACACCTCAGCTGTCATACTCGCTTAGCCTGACGAACGGCAGCAACCGCAATACCCAGCCTACAGGTACAGGCCACAGCCAATCACCGATTTTCCCCGCACTACCTTCGATGCACATCGAACCTGATTTTCCTCACTCAGCGTCTCCATGCAGCAGTTGGCTTATTGAATCAGCCGCGGTAACTCGAAGTCTGCACTTGGCCCCTGCCAGCCCCGTTTTGACCGGAATTTACAGGGAACTTGCTATGACAATCTGGCCCCCCAAGCAACCACAATTGTATATCGGCAATGATCGCTACGGGCGAGAAGCGTCTGTGGCACACGCGCAGCCGACATATATCCTGCAAGCTCGGCGCTTTGGGTTGTAGGTGACCGCTTTTAGCCTACAGTACTACGAGGAAGCCTCGGGACATTCCTAGCAGAATCTCGACGTTTTTCGTGCCATTCTGTCGCCAAGCTGGTCGCCAACGTTTTGCAATTCTTTGCTAGCGCATACTTTACCTCCCCTCTAAGACCTCTTTCACCTTTCCACGCTGTGAACAATCGAACTCCACTGAATTTGCGCCAAACAAGACGATGGAGGCCGCGTCTCCTAGGGCTGCGAACGTGGAGCCCGAACTCGAACAGCCAGCCTTGGATACTGTATGCCAAGTATCGGACCCTGCCGAATGTGATATGGCGACGCCGAAAGAGGTCTCGAACAAAGATTACAGAGAAGGCAATGCCATCATCGCACAGCTGGAATCTGGATCTGTATTGCTTGATCAAATCAACCGGAGTATCGGCGACCTCACGAGTTCGATCAAAGAGCTAGTCACTCCCAGAACAGAACAGGCACCCACGGCGAAGTCTGATGAATCTAATGCAAAGAGCTCGAAAGACCAGAAGGTAGCCACTGAAGTTGACGCGGACGTAATCACTGAAGGAGAGCCAAATGGCGTGGTGTTCTCGGAAAGGGTCGTTCCTCGAGTGCGAAATTGCAATTGGGAACAGTTCAAGAACAGGGATGACGGAGGTGAAGAGGTCTTCGCTTTGGAGGTACTGATTACCGGTGATTCGTTTCCACGTCAAGTAGAGAATGAGGATGCCAGAAGGGCGCGCATTCCTGGACGAAAGCCTGAAGTCCCACCTGATTCTGACTCTGACTCTGAGGTCCCCATTCCGACCGCGAAACGAGGTCTGGCACATAGCGAAGTACGCAGAGGCAGGTGGATCCATCGCGTCCGGATCAATTCCAAAGCCGTCATGAAGATGCTTGGGAAGTTCAGTGATGCCGACAAATCCTGGGAAGGGAAGCCACATACGTTTCTGCAGCCTTTTCGACTTCTCCTTCACTTCCACGAGAAGATGAAGAAGGAGCTTCAAATCATCGAGACAAAGCTTGAAGGTTCATCAGCACCACCAGAGACAAATGTAGCCTCGCTGGATGAGGTCAAGATGATGGACACAGCGCCTGCTTCCGTTGCCGATGATGAATACACGAACAAGAACAAAGAGCAAGATCCAGACGATCTGGAAGCGTTGTATTCGAAGAAAGAAACGCTTGAAGAGGTCCAGTGCTATGTCAACTTTGTGGAAGAGCACCTGCTACCTCTGCGCCAACAATTCCGTGATTCGACCGCGTCAGGAGTGCCTAAAGTGGGCTTTGAAGATCTGAGCTATCTCTTCGAGCCCGGCGATCTTGTGTATGTCCCAAAGTCTGGTCAACAAGGGCTCAGCGCAAACTCAACTACGCAGGAGATCCGCAAGGTATTTCGGATCCACGTCGGCTACGACGAAGGGTGGTTCCAAGGCTGCACTTGCTCCATTTGCAAGGTACATCAGTATACCTCAATCCAGGTGTACTATTTAGACTACGATGGCGAGAGATACGGTTGTTTTACAGCTTCAATCCCTTTCCCTTCATTTGCGGGGAAGAAGCCCATCACTGAGCTGCCATGCTACCCACTTCGGTTCGTCGAGGATCGGGAAACGAAGCTGAAACACGCCAAGAGTGATGGGTCCAGATTCGTGGAACACATCGCTAAACGATACGGCTTCTATAACGGATGGTCGGTCATCAAAAGTCCTACCGGGCACGACCTTGAAGATGCTAAAGGGGACAGAATCAAGAGTCCAGAGCATATTGACAGCGACGTTTTGGTGGACTTCACCGAAGCTTCCAACGTATACCCAGGATGGAAACCCGAGCTGACTACAGAAGAAGAAGAGACATACACCCTGAGGCAGGTTAGAGATGACACATCCATAATAACATGGAAGGGCTCTGACCGCAAAGTTCTTCTTCGGGAAAGCTCTGAGGGTCTCATGGATGACAGTTTGTTCGAGTACCTGGAGTACAATGATTATATCAAGCGCGATGCCTTCCTCGCAAAGCTGCATAACCAAGACCCTCCTACGGAAGACGACCTGGCTCTTCTACCACGGCGCATGTTCGCGTACGCCGTAGGGGATCGCAAATTTGTGCATATCGACTCCCGCTATCTTAAGCCCGTAAAACAGCAAGGCAAAGAGGGCGAAGCATTTGCGGACCTTCAGATTGAGAACACGAACAAACGCCTCATCGAATCGCTTCTGAAATCGCACTTTAGGAAGAAGCAGGAAGAATCGGAAGGGACTGAAGTTCTCTCGCAAGATCTCATCCGAGGAAAAGGCCGAGGTATTGTCATCCTCCTACATGGTGCACCGGGCGTTGGGAAAACCGCCACAGCGGAGGCTGTTGCCCAGAAATACGAGAAGCCGCTGTTTCCCATCACATGCGGTGACCTTGGATTCACTCCAGAAGGTGTGGAGAAATCTTTGAAAGAATTCTTCCGCTTGGCTCATCTTTGGGACTGTGTTTTGTTGCTCGATGAAGCCGAGGTCTTCCTTTCGCAAAGAGATAAGAATGATCTCCAAAGGAACGCATTGGTATCCGGTAGGCCGTCTCCATATTGCAAACAGTAACACTCATACTTACACCTTGATTAGTTTTTCTGCGCATGCTCGAGTATTACAATGGTGTGTTGTTCCTCACGACCAACCGAGTTGGGGTTCTTGACGAGGCTATCAAGTCTCGAGTTCACCTCCATCTGCGATACAACCAGCTCGACAGACAACAGACGTCGGAGATCTTCAAGCACAACATCGCTCGACTCAAGAACATCGAACTTCAACGCCAGGATGCAGCCGATCGCTTATACATCATTGAGAACGAGATCAACGAGTTTGCGCTGACCCATTTCGATGAAACAGCTAAGTCTGGCGTAGGCCGGTGGAATGGTAGGCAGATTCGAAACGCATTCCTGATCGCTGCTTCGCTAGCGCACCTCGATGGCGAGAAGAACCCCGGCATGCAGAAACAGCTCCGAAAGATGCATTTCGATGATGTCGCCCAAACGACCAAGCTGTACGATAGCTTCAGAACCGCCACCCTGGGTCAGGATGACAGTCATCTTGCCCACGAGCGCGAGGAGCGATATGACGGTTTTGACCGACGCTCTAGTGTAGCTATGCCGAGTAACCCATATGGACACCCTTCGTATGCACCGCCGCATCGTACCGGGCCTCCCGGCTACTATGCTGCACCAACCGCTCCGCATGAACGCGCAAGCCCTATGGAACCCCCGAGACACATGCCCAAACCCACCACGCCAGTAGCACATGAGCAACCGCCATCCGATGTAGGATATAGTCGTCAGTATGAAGCTGGTTCAAGATCATCGATGGGAGGAGCAGAGTGGCAGCAAGGACCGTATACCAACCAGCAATACGGATAGAAGAATAACGTCGGCCGATTTTCGTGTAGCAGACGGCTCAATTTGCACCTTTCTTAGATGCCGATACCTTCTCTTACTTTCCATTTGTCGCTTCTTCTCTTTCGGCTAGCTTAGCTTTCAATATACACGACAGCAACTGCCTTCGTATGACCTGTCATTACCCTATACGTCACGGTTCGCATGTGAAAATCGTGATGAGAAGCGCAAGGGCGTCTCGGGCCTGAGGCGTGGGGACGAGAGAGTCATGGCCCTGATGATGTAGCAACGGGTGGAAAGACGGAAGAACCTAGAAATTGGCCAAGGCGGGCTCCACAACTGCTGCACGCTGCAGGACTCGACCCCTTACGTCTCCGTCCCACATGTTGTCTACACCCACCACGACAGCTGTTGCTTTAGCCAAATATCGTTTGAGGAGAGCAGTCTCTATCCGTCTGTCGAGTCAGCAAATGGCACGGAAAGCACACACTGCAACGCGCGATTGCGGCCGGGGTCTTTCCCCGCATCTGGCTACCGAGGCTTCAACACCATGAAGTTTGGCATCTGGAGCACGCAAAGCGATGTGTAGCTTCATGAAATCACGAGAGCTAACATCGTAGACTCTACTAAACAATTTACTTTGACCCAGATAGCCTCGCATCACCCCCGACGTCGTAATCGCAACCCCCAAACCCCCAAACACAATGACACTGGGCGAATACACAAACCTACGCGTCTCCCGCCACGACCGCGTCTTCGTCATGACCCTCGCCAAAGCCCCCGAAAACCGCATAAACGTCGCCTTCGCGCAAGAAATAATACGCGCCCTCCGCGACATCGAGGCAGAACTAGGCGCCGACACAGAAGGCTGCGTGATAACGCGAGGAAACGACGAGAAGTTCTGGTGCACAGGGCTCGAGCTAGACGAGAGCGACAGAAACCCTTTCGCCAACAGCGATGGTTTCTTCCCGCTGCTAGCCACCTTGCTCGACTACCCGTTTCCCACTATCGCATTGCTAACGGGTCATACATTCGGCGGCGCCTGCCCCTTCGCCCTCGCACACGACTACCGCATCATGAACTCCTCGCGCGGTTTCTTCTCTATGCCGCCCGTGGATCTCGGTTTGCATTTCCCTGGCATTGGCTTCCTGCCGCGGCTTAAGCTGCGCCCGCAGGTTGCAAGGAAGATGCTGCTTGAGGCGCATCGCTGGACGGGCAAGGAGGCATATGAGGATGGCATTGTGGATGAGATTGCGGACCCCGAGGTTATGCTTGAGGTTGCGCTGAAGAAGGCGAGAGATGTGCAGGGGAGGGCTAAGATGGGGGTGTATAGTGTGTTGAGGAATGAGCTTTGGGGGGAGGCGGCGGAGAAGATTAGGGGGATTTGTTATGTGCATGGGAAGAGGGTTACTGCGCCTGCGAAGGCGAAGATTTAGGATTGTCGGTTTCTACGACTGATGGTTATCGTTATCAATCTAGAGTTACTGATTATATATTTGGGCTGTTTCTTTGTTGGATGGTAGGTCCCTTCCGCAGCTCGCGTGGGCGTGCCTCATTTCGTCATGGATCCGTGCGTCATCCCATCGCGACTTCCTTTCGCTTCATCTCACTCCCCCTTCCTTTCGCCTCATCCCATCCCAAAACACCACTCGTTATCTCATCTTTCACCAATTCCCTCGTGATGGTAGAATAATCGCCCACGTTCACGAAACCGTCGCGACGAACAAGGTAGCTCTACCGGACGCACGAGACTCAGTCGCGATGTATCCTCAGAACGCTACTTGCCTCTGCGGAGACCGGACCGAGAAAACGCGCGTATCAGGCCATCGACAATTTTTGATGTATGTGTATACAAGTGTACCTGTATATCGGTCAGGTCTATCTATCTATCTGCTGCTGGTAGTCAAAGGCTAAATGCGTCGCTTCATCTACCGGGCCCTGGCGATCTCCGTTCAATTTGGATCAACATCAAGAGGCTCAACGCCGCAACGTGCAATTGATTGAGCCAGGTCATTTCAGCCCCAGTAGTAGCTGTTTTTCGTACGTCTCTTACTGTAAGGACCAATTGGATACGCCTTATCAATCCTGAGTTGAATTGAGGCTCAAAAAACAGGAACGGTGGCTCGCGCAACTACGCATTTGCGTTTCTCGAGACTTGTGTAGTGCATACACGAAGATATGCCATCATGCAATTCTAACAGCAATTATAAGCGTGGAGCATTCTGCCGCAGGTGGGATGCAGCAGCAATATACCACCAACGTGAAAGCGGATCCAACTCTCAACAGAAAGCACCGCCGTTCGTACCGTCGGACATCATAATGCCTTCTAGAAGCTTATCGCATGAGCGGATGACGATACACACTCAGCCGATGACCATCGTATCATGCGCATTGCGTCTCCCAGCATCGGACGAAGGGTGACATGGCGCACATTCATAAGCGCCTTGCGGCTATTTGCACAGTCTTCGAGATGCTGGTTAAAAAAAGAGCACATCTCATATCTGGTACGAGCCGCGTCTTCGACAGGATTGAGCTCACCGCTACGGTATAACGTCATCATCTGGTAGAGTCTACGTGTTTCGCCGACGATGAGGATAGGCAGGCTGTCATTGACGCTTGCTGCTGTCAGCCATACAGGTACTTGCTCCCATACACACACGTACTTCACTTCACTTGATTGACAATATTGCAGCATGCGGTCAAACGACTAAGCGGTACTGCGATTCGGGAACCTCAATATGCTATTCCGGGTGGACTGGTACGAATGGCATCACCTTTGGCGTCGCTCTACCCCAATCGAAAGCTGCACCTTTCGATACTGTTTTGCAAATCGTGTCGCCTATCAAGAATGGATGGGTTGGATTCAGCTGGGGCGGAACGATGCCGTATGTCCCACTGACAGTCGGATGGATGAACAGTGCATCGAATACCTCCATCTACTCGTCCAGGATGGCTTTTGGTCTGAGCTTGCCACAACCCTACGCCGATGCCGAATACTCATACATCAAAGGAACCGGATACAACGCGACTCACTGGACCCTAACTGTGCGGTGTAGGGGTTGCTCTCAATGGCATGACGTGGACGGCAATCTGGTTTCTATCGACGCGAACGCTTCTGCGCAAAAGTTCGCATATGGCTTGTCGAGTAGACCACCTGCTGAACCAGCGAACAACAAATCTACCTTCAACGTGCACAATTCTTTTGGAAACTATCGGATTGACCTCGCACAAGGTCAGAATGCGGACTTTGACGAGTTGATTGCTGCGAACCTCATCGATGGTACCCCACCAGCATCAAGCAGCACCCCAGAACCGAGCTCGGCTATCAGCACGATGTCGACTACGATGAGCATGACTACGGTCACTTCTGGATTACCACAACCAACCCAGACAGGGATACCTGTGTCGTGTCCTGGTGTTGCAGAACTTGCATTTCGTGCCAACACAGCGAAGAGATGGAGGGCGACGAAGGTCGCAGGAGGACTGACCCAGCCAAGAGGGCTTATATTCGATAATGCTGGGAACCTTCTTGTAGTTCAGAATGGAATGGGCATCACAGCACATAGAATCGCGCCAAACGGCTGCCTCACCTCGTCCAAGACTGTCATCGCTCAGCGGAATCTCAACCATGGCATTGTGCTCAGCCACGACGGGAAGACACTGTTCGCTAGTTCTGCGACTTCAGTATTCTCATGGTCATATGACGCAACCACCATGAGCGTATCTGAGAACGCGACAACGGTCTTAACAGGCATGGACAGTAGAGGGCATGTCACCAGGACGCTAGCGATTCCACCAAGATATCCAAATCTCCTTCTCGTCTCACATGGGTCAAATGACAACTTCGATTACGGTTCTGCGGATATTACAACCGGCCGTTCTTGCATCAAAGTCTTTGACACGACCACTGTTCCTGACGATGGCTACGACTACCCAACCAGTGGCTATCAGATGGGCTACGGGCTCCGCAATGAAGTCGGTCTAGCATTCGACGCCGACGGCATGCTTTGGGGTGTCGAGAATTCTTCGGATGAGCTGCATCGCACTATTGACGGGGTATCCGTGGACATCCATACCGATAATCCAGCTGATGAAATCAACTACCTCGGAGATCCATCCAAGGAGAACACGGACTGGTATGGATACCCCACCTGTTATACCGTCTTCAACCCGCATTCGATTGCAGACAAGCCATTCACGTTGGGCGATCAATTTGTCCTAGAGCCCAACGCAACCTTCACAGACGATACCTGTAAGACCCGCAGTATACCACCGCGTCTTGCTCTTCCGGCGCACTCCGCACCCCTTGATGCGAGCTTCAACAAGAACTTCACTAGCATGTACATTACCCTCCATGGATCTTGGAACCGCAACCCTTCGATTGGATACAAGATCATCGAAGTGCCATTCACCACAGGCGCCAACGGCTTCGGACCGAAAGCGTCCGTGAATAGTACGCAGGCTTGGGCTGACATCTTCTGGAATCCGGATGTGGATTCTTGCTCCACTACGCAATGTTTCAGGCCTGTGAGTATTGCGCAGGATGGCTATGGTAGGATGTATGTGACTAGTGATAGCGGGGCGGAGGGGGAGATGATTATTATTGGAAGGGAGTAAATAGGGAAATGTGTGGGATCATGGCAGCTCTTCGCATTCGCTTAATGTGTCTTTATATTAGATTTGTCCGTCTGCTCCGTCTACCAACCTTTCGGAATTCTCACTAGCAGTCTGTCTGCCTGCCTCGGTGCTTTGCACAATCGCTATTTGACATCGCGCCTTGTCTGGTGAACATCGAGGTGTTCAGGCATCGTTCGCTCGAACATACCGAGGTATCTGGCTTTCGGACGACTTGAGTTTCCGAGAACAGGGGACCTGTAGCGTCGTCCAGCCCTACGAAAGTTTCCGATAAGGCAGTACAACTCTAGCTGGTGATCATGATCTGCGGGGTACATGTGACTCGGCCTCTCAAATCAACACTCCAAGCAACTCACCAACCGTAACCTGTCTCGCGCATAGTGGTCCAAAAGGAGTCAACAGAGCGAGTCATGGCTGTCGCACACAAGTCATGTTTCCTTTTGTGGCAAGGTGAGCGGGCTGCCGAAGAAAAAGCAACTAAGGATCTGCCTCGGCAAAAAACTCGGTGACGTATTTACCGCTTCAACAACACTAAGGTTGCGAACGACACCCCCAATCGCACGGCGGTGAAAGGCGGCCGTGATGGACTAGGAGATGGACGAAATGTCTAGTGGTGGGGTAGCGTGCGCAACGTGTGGCGTCGCACGATGGGGGTGGAGCCACCTCGGAGGTTGAGGTCTGAGGTGGTTAGGTACAAAGGTCGACATGCACCGGCTCCCCTGGCCATTGCCCACCACTGACTTGCTGTCATAGCTTTTGTATTCGTCGGACGATTCACGTATATACGAGTCACGGAACCGATTGAGAGACCACACTTTACCTCCTACTTCCCCACGTCGCGTACCTGCGCCGGCACCCTTTCTCCACCGTAAGCACCGCCAGCAGTCCGCACACCGGCCCGCCATGATCGACTCGTACTTCGACGTGTTAGTAATCGGCAGCGGCCTTAGCGGCATCAACTCGGCCTACCGCATCCAAGAGTCGCTGCCAGACGCCAAGTTCGCCGTCCTCGAAGCCCGCCACGAACTCGGAGGAACATGGTCGCAATTCAAATACCCCGGCGTACGGTCGGATTCCGATCTGCACACGCTGGGCTTCCAGTTCTACCCATGGAGGGCGAAGAACCCGATTGCGAGCGGCGAGAGCATCATGAGCTACCTGCAGGAGACGGCTCACAAGTTCGATCTGGACAAGAAGATTCGGTATAGACACAAGGTTATGAAGGCGGATTGGAGGAGCGAGGAGCAGCGGTGGAGGCTTGAGGTGGAGGTTGGGAATGATGTTGGGAGAGAGCCGCGGACGGTGGTGTACTGGACCAAGTGGTTGATCACTGGTACGGGTTACTACAACTACGATACCCCGCTGAAGGCGAATATCCCCGGTATCGATAACTTCAAGGGCAAGCTTGTTCACCCGCAGTTCTGGCCTGAGGATCTGGATTACAAGGGCAAGAAGATGATTATCGTGGGTAGTGGCGCGACTACTATCACCATGATGCCTGCGATGGTGGATAATGGTGTGGGTAGTGTGACGCAGCTGCAGAGGAGCCCGACGTACATCATGAGTCTGCCACAGAAGGACCAGGTGTGGTTCGAGAAGTGGGCGCCGGAGTGGTTCACCCTCCGCTACAAGCGTAAGCCTTCCTCCCTTCAACTATCAATCCAAACTAACAACCCAGGCTTCATGTTCACCCTCGTCCCCATCCTCCTCTACAAATTCTGCATCTGGTTCCCCACCCTCGCCTCCAACTTCCTCGTCAAGAAAGCCGCTCAACAACTCCCACCCGATTTCCCCGTCGACCCCCACTTCAAACCCGGCTACAACCCCTGGCAACAACGCATGTGCCTCTGCCCCGACGGCGACTACTTCAAAGCCTTCAGCTCAGGGAAAGCGCACATCGTCACCGACACCATCAAGAGCGTCGTCGCCGACGGCATCGAACTCACCAGCGGCACCAAACTCGACGCCGACATTATTGTTACTGCCACAGGCCTCAACATGCGTTTCCTCGGCGGCATCGACGTGCGCGTCGACGGCAAGAAAATCGAAGTCTCAGAGCAATACATGTGGCGCAACGCCATGCTCACCTCCCTCCCCAACCTCGGCAACATCATCGGCTACTGGAACGCGTCCTGGACACTCGGTTCGGACGCCGCCTCCCGCCTTTTCGTCCGCTTGATCAAGCACCAACAGGAACAGGGGTATACCAGTGTGACCCCTGTGATTGATGAGAAGAGTAGGCAGAAGACGGTTAGTGCTAGTCCGTTGAATAGCACGTATGTCAATGTGGCGATGAAGAAGATGCCGAATTGCGCGGATGCGGGGCCCTGGAAGCCGAGGGATAACTGGTTTGCGGATAATTGGGGGGTTACGAGGGGGAGTATTGAGGAGGGGTTGAGGTGGGAGAGGGTTAGGGTTGAGTAGATGCGTTGGGAGTAGTAGGGAGAGAGGTTTGGAGATGGATGGGGATGTGGGGTTCTAATGAATGATATTTGAGTACGGTATCTTGGTCTGAGATGTTGTTGTGTTGAGAGAGTGGTGTGGTGGTCTGTTGCTGCTAGACGCTTCCATCCCAATGCGGCACTCATCTTTCACTTTCACTTTCACCGCATCCGTGCCATCTTTTCAACTTGCTTATCTCAACGTCCCCCGTCTTGCAAACTCTTTCTCTACACCCGGTCTCCCACCCACATCGCTCCATCGCGACCTCAGCTGTTCACGCGGCGCATTCCTACGATGAATCTTCCTGAGTACTTCATGCTCGCTTCCCATCCAGCGCCCTACTATTCACAGCATGCCGTCGCGTAAGCTACAGAACAGACTTTGGCGATTCGCCGCGACCTGGTTAAGAGATGATGTAGTCTCCGCGCTCGTGTCGCGACGCAGTAACGAACGTCACGGCATGACCATGTCGTCGCCTCTCAGCTCTGAACTGAACGCGTCGCGATCGCTATTACGATGAAGTTGACAGTCCGCGACGTAGTTACTCACCAGCGTAGTCCTCGCGACTATATCGCGACGCGATAACACACATCACGGCACCACCGCGTCGGCTCATGCAGACCGCAACCAGTATTATCGCGCAGCTCTTACGCGACATCGAAGCGACTCCAGCACCGACCTTGACGAATCCAGGGGCTTGATCGACTTCGATGCGTTCCGACAACTCTTCTTTCGGACGTTTTGCGCAATATCATCTCCGCATTCGAAGATGTAGAAGAGATAACATTAGCGACGAACCACTGTACAGAAATATTGTCGGAGCGACTGTTGTATGGTTGCGGTTTGACACCCTCATGGTGTTCGCAGTCTGCGGTCACCGAAACGCAGAACCGTTGCCAACATCCATCGCTCAAGCGGAGAACCTTCAAGAGATATCGCATCGCCCACCCTTCGACCAACTCGACAATAGTTCCTGTCTTACCACTGATATTACCCTTAGGATTTCGTCTCCACATCGCTAATCAATCCCTGGTCCCGGCAAACCTCCAAAACCAAAACCATCTAGCGGCAAACCTCACCACATCTTACCGAAGTGGGGCTTTTTCCCCCTAACTTCCTAACGCGCCTTTCAATCAACCCCGCCGTTGCTGGCGATATAAACGCCGTACTTTGTCCTTCTTCCATCAAAGCAGTTCCTCCAGGAACAGCATAACCGGGCTTGTGGTTTAGTGGTATAATACTCCCTTAGCATGGGAGTGGTCCAGGGTTCGATTCCCTGCAAGTCCATCTTTTTGCGCTCGTCGTCGCTGGGGTAGGGCGCTGCTGCGTGTGTTTTTGGTCATTTTGAGAAGTTTCGGAGGGTCGATTTTGCATTTTGCGGAATCTAGTCCAGGTACATCGGGCGCAATGAGGCGGCAGTGGCAGTGAGATCAAATGTTGTTACACTAACGTTGTTGGTATGGGATATGGAAAGCTAACATTATTACACGAGCATTGTTGGATTGGAGACACGAAGAGTCACTTTGCTGCACGCGGCATGTGTATATCATAGCGGACGACGGGAGTGACTTCTGCAAACTCGTGCGTGAGAGTCATCTATTGATGTCCCGTCATCCCTGGCCGTCTCACTACCCCGGACTCTGTCGTCCATGGTCTGTTTTTCGACACCTTGGGCATGTACAGTACATTCAAGGACCCCATACGAAGACGCAATCAAAGACCTTATACCGAGCGGACCTTCATTCCCGATATCCAACCGCGGCAAGCCTCCATAGAGAGACGTTGTTGTACGAGTACAACATGGTCTTCTCATCACCAAGATCAAGGAAGTCGTCCACCTTTAGCTTCCCATTTCTTAGCAACGCAGCTTCAGGTGTACCTACATCCTGCCCGCTTTTCCTGACTGAAGATGACAGAAGTGCCGTCTTTCTTGCCTAGCTCAACCCGATCACGACCCATATCGAGGTCGAATCCCAACTTCCACGGCTGATTGAGCGCATAGTCAAGGGAAGCGGTGATGGTCATGGTCAAGATACCTGGCGGAGATTCGCTCGGTATGACTCTATAAAGCGTTTAGAGACCGCGGATGCCATAGCCATGGGGGGAGGCTTCAATCACGACAACAAGCTCGGGAACATCCGTGCGGTTGACGACAGTAGAGCTAGAGACACGCCTGCGCGTGATCAGCAGTCCAATAGTCAGTCTTTCGACACTCTAGTCATCCTTTCATTGCGCTCAGCCACTCAGATCTCCGTTCCTTCACTAGAACTATCGCGAGAGAAGAAACCACAGTCGCCAGCCCCAGCGTGGAGGCAAAGTGCAATGGTGGCATATCACATGTTTTATACGTCGATCTGGCATTACGGCTATGATCGTTTGTCTGTGAGTCAATATGCTAGGATGATATCGTGACTTGGCTTTAGTATAAGAGCTCGGTAAAGCTCTGCGTTCATGTGTCCTCGTCCGCGTTGTGAACCACATCGTAAACCTCAAAGTCGCCATCCGATGCCCAAAGTTGATCACAGTAGAACACAGCAGGACATTATAATCATCTCTCAACAATCTCATTCTATGCAACCAGTAATCAGTATCCACTATCCACACTTCCGCACCAATTTCTTCTCTTCTCTGCGATCTATCCACTCCCCCCTTAAAAAAAGGGATGACATCTTTCAACAAAAGAGAAACGCCGATGCTATGCAATACCAACCTAACAATGCTCGTCCCATGTCCAAAGCCAAAGCCAGGCGAAACCATAACGCCTTGCAATCAACTTAATGGAACGCCATATCCACCGCTGGTCATAAACATGCCAGAGAAAACAAGAGAAATATACAAAAGGAAAACACACCCCACACTCGTTGGTGTGGTAGGAAGGTCAAAGACCAGTCCACCCCCTCCTCCTGCGTACCTGCGTCAAGTATCCATCTCCACTCCGTTTCTCCCCAGGACTACTACTTTCAGCAGCAGCACCAAGTGCCGTCAACCCCCCAGATTTCTAATCCTGCACCCCCTTCCTCGCCGCCGTACTCATCTCCCCACCACTAGTCTCCCTCCGCCTCCTCACAATCTGCAAGCGTGGGAGCGGCGGCGCATTACTCGTCGAATGCACCGGCTGGCTACTCGACGGTGCAGGAGACCCAGTGCTATGTCCATGCGAAGAAGCATGTCCCGTCGGTGTTTCGTTCTCGCCTCCGACAACACTCTGCCGTCGTCGACTCACGGCTTCGCTGATGCGACCTTGTCTTGCTTTAGGTAATCTCGACGAGGACTTCGCGTTGTTGTGATTCGCCTCGATACGGGCGAGACTGGTTGCTGCGTCGCGGGAGGGAGGGCGCGAGGATGTGCGTGGACCGGTTGGTGTACTGGTATTCGATTGGAGGGCGGCGAAGGAAGTGGAACTGCGAGCGAGAGCGGGTGGTTTCGACCTCCCAGACGAAGAAGGGGGGAGGACGGCGGTGGGGTCTTCAGCGAGATCCCACATTGCGGTTGAGGATTGAGAGCGCGTGATGCGGTGGTCGCCGCGGTGGCCCGTGGGTGTGCCGGACATGGGTGGGAGCATGAAGGTGGATTTGAGGGAGTTGGGGGTGGGAGGTGTGAGACCCATGCCGCTGCTAACGAGCGTGGAACCGGTGCTGGAGCCGGAGCCGTCGCGGCGGCCGGCTGAGGAGGCGGGGCGGCGGAGGTTCATGCCTACGTTTGAGGCCCGACTAAGGCTTCGTTTGCCGTTGGAGCCTTTGCTGATGCCAGAGAGTTCGACTTCGTCGCAGGCGCGGACGAGCTCTTCGGCCATTTGGCGTACCAACACCGCAGAGTCGTGTTCCATGAGCCAGCTGATGCGCTCGTAACAGCCGAATGCGCGTATGAGCCAGCAGCCCTCGTCCTTCGCATCGCAAATCGTCCGCAGGATACGGAGGAAGTTGAGACGCGTCACGGCATCCTTGTGTCCCAGCTTTTGTTCTGTGCGACCAAAGATCTCGGGTACGGCGAGGGAGGCAGCGATTGGTGGTGACAAACGAACCACCTTTTGCAGTGGCTCGAGCATGTTCTCAAAGGTAGAGTGTGGGAGGTCGGCGGAGGTATACGCGGAGATGATGGCGACGGTAAAGTTCGATTGCGAGGAGAGGAGGTATTGCTCGACGCGCGCGGTTTCTTCCTGGAGCCTGTAATAGTTAGCATGAGATACATGGCCATCAACAATCCCAAGTATACATACCACACGAAAATGGCATCCAGGGCCGTTACCGCCCAATTGCGGTCGCCCAACAGCGAAACGTAGAACGCCAGACCCTTTGCATCCCACAACATCTTCCGTGCCACCTTGCCCGAGTTGACCATCTCAAGCAGCACCGGCAGCGCAAACTCCTTGAGCGGACCGCCTTCGCGCACAACTTCCTTCAGCAGAGGAATGATGTCCGACAACGCAGCCTCCTCCTGTCTGCTCTTATTGTGCCGACACAAGTTGTACATGGTATTGAGGATCTGGTTCGAGATCTCGCGGTGGAACGGAGGGAGTCGAGCTGGGTCAGAGGCGGATCGCTGTTGACTGCGGCTCATTGCGTCCTTCTGTCGAGTCGACTTGAGTAGTTCAATCAGGATGTCGATCGCGTTGGAGTTTTGTAAGGCTTCGTGGGTTGAGGAGAGCGAGCTGAGGTTCTTGATGAACTTGAGCATGGTGATCTGGTGCGGTGGTGCCATCTTGCGGAGATCTTTCAATACACCTGTGCGTTGTTAGCTATGTTTGAGTTTGCGACGACACCGTCCAATTGGCCAAGCCTGTGCAATGTAATGTAACTTACGCTTCAAAATCATCCGATCCGCCACAAGATCCTTGACATGACTCTCAGCTTGCGAGAAGATGAGGAAGATCTGTACGATCCTGCCGACGATGAGGCGTGCAACCTCGCCATCCTCCTCCACCATTCGGTTCAGCACCAAGCTGAGAGGGTATAGTACGCTCGATCTCGAGAAAATGCGACAAA